CTCCCCCCCCCCCCCCCCCCCCCCCCCCCCCCCCCCCCCCCCCCCCCCCCCCCCCCCTCCCCTCCCCCCCCCCCCCCCCCCCCCCCCCCCCCCCCCCCCCCCCCCCTCCCCCCCCCCCTCCCCCCCCCCCCCCCCCCCCCCCCCCCCCCCCCCCCCCCCCCAGGAAGGAAGGAAGGAAGGAAGGAAGAAGGCAAGGAAGGAGAGGGAAGAAAGAGAGAGGGAAGGAAGGAGAGAGAAGTAAGGGAAGTGAGGGAGGGGGAGAGAGAGAAGGAAGGAAGGAACAAAGGGAAAAGGGGAGAGGGAGAGAAGGAAGGAGAGAGAGAGAAGGAAGTAATTAAGGAAGGAGAGATGAAAAGAAGAAGGAAGGAGAGAGAAGGAGAGGGAGAGGAAGGAAGAAGGAAGAAGGGAAGGAGAGAGAGAAGGAGAGGGAAGGAAGGAAGGAAGGAAGGAAGGAAGGAAGGAAGGAAGGAAGGAAGGAGAGGGAAGGAGGGAAGGAAGGGAAGGGAAGGGAGGAAGGAAAAGAAGGAAGAAGGGAGGAGAAGGAAGGAAGGAAAGAGAGAGAAGGAGAGAAGGAAGGAGAGGAGAGAAGGAAAGAAAAGAAAGGAGGAAGGAAGAAGAACAGGAAGGAGAGGAGAAGGGAGGGGAGGAGGAGAGGAAGAAGAGAAGGAAGGAGAGGAGAGAGAGAGAAGGGGGAGGAAAGGAAAGAAGGAGAAAGGGAAGGGAAGAGGGAGGGAAGGAAGGAAGGAAGGAAGGAAGGAAGGAAAGGAAGGAAGGAAGAAGAAGGAGAAGGAAGGAGGAAGGAAGAGAAGAAGGAGAGAGAAGGAAGAAAGAGAGAGCGAAGAGAGAGAAGGAAGGAAAAGTTAAGTAGTAAGAAGTAGTAAGGGCATCTTGGAAATGGGTGGTCTTTGTATCCAGGTATAGCCAAGAGACCCGCAAAAGCTTCACCAAAGTAACCGAGTCAGGACTTAATGGAAAAAAAAAAGGTAAGACGAGGAACCAAAGGAGTCCTAGAGAGAAAGACAGGAGACCAGGGAGAAGATCCGAGAACCAGAGGATAGAGGTAGAAGAGAAAAAAGGAAGGGAGGAGAGGAGAAGAAAGAGAAGGAAGGGAAGGGAGGGAGGGAAGAAGAGAGAGAAGAGAAGGAGAAGGAAGGAAGAAAAGGAGGGAGAAGGGAGGGAGGGAGGGAGGGAGGAGGAGGGAGGAGGGAGGAAGGAAGGAAGGAAGGAAGGAAAGGAAGGAAGGAAGGAAGGAAGGAGGAAGGAAGAAGGAAGAAGAGAAGAGAAGAGGGAGGGAGGGAAGGGAGGGAAAGGAAGGGAAGAGAAGGGAGGAAAAACAAAAGGAAGAAGGGAGAGAGGGAGGGCAGGAGGGAGGGGAATAAAGAGAATGGAAGAAATGGGGACGGAGGGAGGAAAATTGTGTCCAAATCTGAAGACACTTGAGGAACACCTTTAACAAAATACACTCTAGGGTTTTAGATCTTGAATTACATCTTGATCATGTACAGCAGCAAAAGAGGGACAGAAGTAAAGGGAAGGTTAAGAACTGCTGGTGTAGATATTTTCAATCCAACAACAAGGACTTCCGCACAGTGACCCATGCAGGTGTTAGGTTGCTTGCACTCCACAGCTCTTTACCTCCTGCCCTACACAACTCTCATCAAGCTGGAATTCCTGGGCAGGAGCCATTTCCTCGTAGTTGGCCCTATGCAACTGGAAAGGGACTCGACTTGCAGGGGGACCTCCTAATCCCAAGACCCAAGTCTCACCTTGAAAGGCTGCGGCTCAAAGGTGGACGGCTTCCAGAGGACCCCGATGACCTCTCCTCCATACTTGTCAAAGAAAAACAGAGCAAACTCACTGAAGGCTTCCTGGAATGAACAGAGATTTACAGAGCGTTACCAAGGTTAAGTTTGGCTACCAAGTTTAATCAAAACAGACATCACAGTCATCTCAGAATCAACTAGAACTTTGGCAGATGTTACGGACCAAGAGCTCTTCAGGTGCCAATAGATACTTTCCTCTAATAAGTTTGCCACGTATGCTCCACCTTAGGACAGAAATCCCAATTAATTTTAATTGCCAGGGACAGATGATGCGGTGACACTGCTGTTTCCCCCAAGCTCTGCATCAATGAGACCTCAAAATTATGACCTAAACAGAAAGGCCACAGAGGTGTTCTCTCTACGTATTTTCTCTAGGTCCTCCAGCAGGTCACTATGGTATATTTCCATTGGAAGTTGACCACAGAGTTGTGCAGAAGGACCTAGAAAATTAATAATAATAATAAACCTTTATTTGTACCCCGCTACCATCTCCCGAAGGACTCGGTGCGGCTTACATTAGGCCGAGCCCAAAATACAACAATAAAACAACAACAATAATACAGCAAAATAAAACAAAAACAAGCAATAACATTAACAACACGCAATGACGCAGTTAAAAACAATGGCCGGGCCAAATGTAATAATTAAAATTAAAAGAGCTGAGCATGTCAGGTGGGGTGTTTGAAGGGGGTGGGCATGCAGATATCCTAGATCTCTGAATAAAGTGCGTTGGGACATAATGCTAGGAGTTTCCTTATTCTGGAAAGGCACACTGGAACATCCATGTTTTCAAGCTCCTCCTAAAGATTGCTAGCGACGGGGCCTGCCTGATGTCCTTAGGGAGAGAGTTCCAGAGTCGAGGGGCCACTACCGAGAAAGCCCTATCCCTCGTCCCCACCAATCACGCTTGCGATGCCGGTGGGATCGTAAGCAGGGCCTCTCCAGATGAACGAAGAGATCGTGTGGGTTCGTACACAGAGATGCGGTCACGCAGGTAGGCGGGTCCCGGATGACCGAAGTGAACGCGTGGGTTCATAAACGGAGATGCGGTCATGCAGATAGGCAGGTCTCAAACCGTTCAGGGCTTTGTAGGTAAGCACCTGCACCTTCAATTGGGTTCGGTAGTTAAACGGCAGCCAATGGAGCTCCTTAAACAGGAGGGTTGACCGCTCCCTGTAAGGAGCACCAGTTAACAACCTGGCCGCCGCTTGTTGAACCAATTGAAATTTCTGGGCTGTTTTCAAGGACAGCCCCACATAAAGTGCATTACAGTAGTCCAATCTGGAGGTGACTAAGGCATTCCACTGGAATGCCCCTAGTCCAGTCGCAGTTGGCGCACGAGTCTTAATTGTGCAAAGGCCCTCCCGGCCACCACCGACGCCTGAGCCTCAAGCGTAAGTGATGAATCCAGGAGGACACCCAAACTGCGGACCTGTGACTTCAGGGGGAGTGTAACCCCGTCCAACACAGGTTGCCACCCTATACCCCGATCCGGTTTACGATCGACCAGGAGGACCTCTGTCTTGTCGGGATTGATCTTCAGCTTGTTCTTCCTCATCCAGATAGCCACAGCGCAACAATAATCCAGCACCCGAGGGGCTTCCTTGGAGTTAGGTGGAAAAGAGTAGTAGAGTTGCGTGTCATCTGCGTAGAGATGGCAACCAACTCCAAAACTCCAGATGACCTCTCCCAGTGGTTTCATGTAGATGTAAAAAAGCATGGGAGACAGAATGGACAAAATTCCTAATGTTTAGTTCGTATTTCTTTTCTTGTAACTGGAATCCATTGGCTCCTGGTCTTCTTCTAAGGAACATGGCATCCCTTCAGATACTTAAAGATGGCTCTCTTCAAGCTAAACACACCCAACTATCTCAGAAGGTTTGTTTCCAAGACAAATAACCTATCCTATAACTAAGTGCCGTCATTCCACTTTCAATATTGCTATGAAACAAAAAAAACAAATATTTACTTGTGCGCATAAGCTTCAAAGCTAATTGGCTAATATATTAATTTGGAGAGGAACATGTTAGGAACAGTTCGATTTAATTAAAAAAACAATTGCAGCAACTCAATGTAGTGAACGGCTCCTCCCATATTAATGCAGGTAATTAAAAGAATGCAAAACATTAAATGAAATTTGATGTTATTACTGTGTCATGATTTATATGTATATACATATTCATATCATACACACACATTGGTTGCTGTTGTTGTGTGCCTCCAAACATTGAGTCATGTCAGTTAAAGTGTAGATGCGCCCTTAACTTTTCCTAAAATGAATAATCAAATCACCAGCACTCTTTGACCTTGTAAAACTACAGCTCCCAGGATTCCACAGCATTGAGCCATGGCATTTAAAGCAGTGTCAAACTGAATTAACTCTGCAGTGTAGACACACCCAGAGTCTCCATGAGTTGAAGCTGACTTGACATTGGGAGCAACAACACATTCATATGCAATTACCCACTGACCTGTGGTGTGCAGATGGGGCAGCACCTCACTAGCTCCAAATGTGGCATGAACCACACTGGGCAAGTATAGCAAAAGCTGGCGTTCTTGCATTCCTTCCTTCCCTGAAGGTGGAACAAACGCCTGGAGCCGAAACTCATCATACCGTCGCTTCATTAGGCTTTGGCCTTTGGCTCCCAGGAGGAAACGAAGAGTGGACTAAAGTGGTGTTTATCCTGGCGCTCCACCTGAGAGATGCTCACCTGAAGCCCTACCTGCCTGGGCACATCAGGCCAAGTCAGTCGTTGCTAAAAACCTTTTAAAGCTGAAAAATGCTAAAGGTGGAACAGGCCAACGCCCATGGCAGTCCACATCAAATCAGCCGTATATGCACCCCGGGTGACCTTTCACACAAGACACAAAACAAAACCATCAGGTGAGCAAAGACTAGCCCTCCCAGCACTCTTCATCAGACATACAAATGGGCAAATGGGAACCGCAGTCCGAATTAAGAGGAGTCATTCCACTCTCTCTTTCTTTCTCCATCTCCTCTCTCCCTCCCTCTCCTCTATCCTCCCACCATCTCCCTCCCCCCTCTCCTTTCTCCCCTCTCTCCCTCCCCCTCTCCTCTCTCTCTATCTCTCTCCATCTTCTCTCCCTCCCTCTCCTTTCTCCATCTTTCTCCATCTCCTCTCTCCTCCCTCCCTCTCTCCTCTCTCCCTCCCTCTCTCCATCTTCTCTCCTTTCTCCTCCTTTCTCCCCTCTCTCCCTCCCCCTCTCCTCTCTCTCTATCTCTCTCCATCTTCTCTCCCTCCCTCTCCTTTCTCCATCTTTCTCCATCTCCTCTCTCCTCCCTCCCTCTCTCCTCTCTCCCTCTCCCTCCCTTTCCTCTCTCTCCCTCTTTCTCTCTCCCTCCCCCTCTCCTCTCTCCATCTCCTCTCTCTCTCCATCTCTCTCTCTCCCTTTCCTCTCTCCCTCCCCCTATCTTCCTCCCTCTTCTTTCTCGATCTTTCTCCATCTCCTCTTTCTCTCCCTCCCCCTCTCCTCTCTCCCTCTTCTCTCTGTCCCTCTTTCCCTCCCTCTCTCCATCTTCTCTCCCTCCCTCTCCTTTCTCTATCTCCTCTCCTCCCACCCCGTCTCCTCTCTCTCCCTCTTTCTCTCTCCTCTCTCCCTCTTTCTCTCTCCCTCCCTCTCTCTCCACCTGCTCCCCCTCCCTCTCCTTTCTCCATCTTTCTCCATCTCTCTCTCTCTCTCTCCCATCTCTTTCTCCTACCTCTCTCCCTCCCCTCCCCTCTCTCCATCTCCCCTTCTCCCTTCCCTTTCCCCTTTCCCTCTCTCCCTCTTTCACTCTTCCTTCCTCTCTCCAAAAACGGGAAACATGAATTGATATTCTTGAACTGCAACTCCCATCAGCCCCAGCAAGCTCAGTCAATAGTGAGGAACGCTGGGAGTTATCAACAACATCCAGAAGGCTCGTGATTTCAACCCAAGTTAGAACAAACATGCCATCTTGGAATCGTCCAAATCAGTTGGGTCTACAAAGGCCACCATCCACCTCCAGCAAACACGGTGGTGGGACGTGCATGGTGAGAGTCATAATCCAACAAATCTACAGGGTCCAGGTTGATGATGATATCTCCCATAGGTTACGCAACAGGGCTTCCCTCATGATCCCTCGACTAGAGGGCCACTATGTATCTCCCAGGCTTCCCAGAGGCAAAAGCCTGTATGAGGCTGACCTTAAAAGGTCTAGGGTCAGGTCCACCCTAAGGACATGTGGTTATGGGCACTCCCTGTTCCAGCCAAAAGGAACGAAGAGACAAGCATCAGGCCTTGGAGTTTTACTTTTGGTGCTGACCAGTTCACTCAATTTCAAGACAGGAGGAATTATCTGTTGGCAAGGATGAGGATTTAGAGAAGGATGCTACGGGAGAAGAATAACCTTAGGGCTAGAAGGCATGACCATCAAGTTTGCAGACGACACCAAATTGGGAGGGAGAGCCAAGACTCCAGAGGACAGGAGCAGGATTCAAAATGACCTTGACAGATTAGAGAGATGAATTGCCAAAACTAACAAAATGAAGTTCAACAGTGACAAATGCAAGATACTCCACTTAGGCAGAAAAAACTAAATGCAAAGATACAGAATGGGGGACGAGGCCTGGCTCGAGAGCAGTACGTGTGAAAAAGATTTTGGCGTCCTTGTGAACAACAAGTTAAACATGAGCCAACAATGTGATGTGGCGGCAAAAAAAAAGCCAATGGGATTTTGGCCTGCATCAATAGGAACCTAGTGTCTAGGTCCAGGGAAGTCTATTCCGCTTTGGTTAGACCACACCTGGAATATTGTGTCCAATTCTGGGCACCACAATTCAAGAGAGATATTGACAAGCTGGAATGTGTCCAGAGGATGGCGACTAAAATGATCAAGGGTCTGGAGAACAAGCCCTATGAGGAGCAGCTTAAGGAGCTGTGCATGTTTAGCCTGAAGAAACCGCATTGAGTCGCCGAATCAGGCTGAAAAATGCGGTATAGAAATAAAGGAAATAAATAATAAATAAATAAGAGAAGGTTGAGAGGAGATATGATAGCCATGT